CTAGCAGAAGCGAAGGAGAGATAACGTTTGTGCCAGAAATATTACTAAATTTTCCACAGCTACTACTAAATTTTCACATTTTCAGTGGGCCTATAATTTTATATAATATTTCATATTTGTTTTCAGTAGCCCATTTTACAAAAAAATCTGAATTCAGATGCTATAGATTGATATACACAAAAGATAAAAAGAAAGAGCAGTAATTGATCAATGAACATTCCCATAGTAAAAACGTTCATGCATGCTGTTTTTACTGCAATTATCTGCCATTTAACTTGGGAGTACTGCACATGCAAATTAGCCATATTTTGCAAAGAGTACATTATTATTATTATTATTATTATTAAATAACACTTCTTTTATTAGAAAACTATAATTTGTCCCCCTCATTTAAAACCTAACAGCAAAGCATATTTTGGCCTTAGCTGACTATATAGAATCATGGTGGTTCTTCAGGAATGAGGCCCACGGAATTCACCTAGTCTGGTAGCACCTGCAATATACTCACCAGTGAGGCCATGGTGAACCCAATGACTTCAATGTAGCCATCATCATGGCGCTGAGGTTCAAAGTCTCTGTGATCTCCAGGGTTTCCCCAGGGCATTGTGCCCGCACAATACCTACAGAAAGAGGTTTGGAAAGTAAGCTTTGAGAAAGCAGTTTGCCCTGATGAGTCCTGACTAGAAGCCTGACTATTAGCCTGTTCTGGTGTCCTCCAGAAGTATCCAGATATCCATTCCAGGATTAATTTCAGGGACAATTAAAAATTATGCTAGCAAGGACTGGACAAAAAGGAAAATCTGTCCTTGTTTCCAGGCTGGTACACCATCCATAAATGTATCCATTATAATTTTTAGCAGTTTCCTTTCTGAGAGGAAAATGGGGAAATACCAGGAAACATATAACAGAGCAGCAGCACTTTGTTCTCCCCACTTGCTTTGCTTTCTACAGATGAGCTGCTGAGCCAGAAATCTGCTTAGCCCCTCTGTCAGGCAGCTGCAGCAGCAACTCCAGCCTTGGAGCTCCATTTCTTCTCTCCCTGCTAGCTCAGAAGCCCGAACAGCATAAGGAGTGCAAAAGTGCACTCCTTATGCTTCATAGCTTGAGGAGGCAGAGAAAAATAAGAAGCAGAAACAGATCTGTGGCATCTATCTTTCCTACCACTAAAGAACGGATGTAAAAGTGATCTAAGAGTGATAGAAGGGGGAACTTTGGAGAGGAGACACCAAGTAGAAGCTTGCAGTGAGGGCAGTGCAGGACTCAAAAGATCAGGTGCTTGGGACTGCATGTGAAGCAAAGTGACAGGCTGTCTAAAGCAATGGTCTCCAAAACAGGGTGCATGCACCATGGGCAGCGTGCAAGAAAAATCCACAACTAACAAGACAATTAGAGAGTGTAAAGAAAATACTGTTTGTACTTTTAATAAGGAAATAACCCCATTAAAACAGTGTTTCTTTCATCTGTATCACATTCTTTCTTAATTCCTATTTTTGTGTCTGTTTTATAATATATGTAATGGTACAGTAGTACCTGTATATAATTTATAAATAAATATATATATATTGGGGTGGTGCTCAAAAATTTTTTACTGATAGGGATGCACAATCCAAAAAAGTTTGGAGACTACTGCTCTAGAGAGCAAGAGATAGACAACATTTAGGAATACAGCTATATATCTATTTGGGACACGTTCTAACACGTTAAAAAACAGCACTTCTTTCAACAATTTGGTGTTCCTTTACCAGAAACGTATTGATCCTTTTATTCCTCCACACTCTGCTCTTGCACCACACATTCCCCACACTTTTTTTTCCCCACACTCTTTAAGCAAAAGACCAGCATCTGTGTCTTTCGTACCTTGTTTGCAGGTTAAGTGCCCAAACTTTGAAAATGTTTGTTAATCATTTCTATTATCTCTGTAGTATTCAACTTTTTAAAGGATGGTTTAGCTGCACCCTGAACTTGGAACTCATTCCATATTGCTAATTAACAGTATCATAAGCACCTAGCTCTCAAAAAAGCAGAACAGTGGCAATACTCTTCCTATTCCTTCTGCACATCCACCCAGTCTAGGACAATTTGTAGGTTTTATTTGGTGGGTTTGTGTTTGATTTGGGGTTTTTTTGTTTGGTTGGGGTTTGTTTTGGGTTTAGTTTTTTTTTTTTCCTTTTATAACTCCAAGCATTTATCTTGAGCTTACCTGGGTATGTTTAAAAACACTATACACTGGAACTTCAGCTCCTGGATCTTTGGAGTCAGGTCTGTACCATCACACTACAAAGCCAAAGTGACAGAGCACAGAGAAATTGCTGAATGGAGCCACAGACAAGAGAAGTGTTGCTGCTTTGTAACAACTTTCCCAAGACTTTCCTTGGAATGTGTTGCAAATGTCATGCTCAAAACTGAAAAGTAACAGAGCCATTAAACTCCCACCTCGCTCTCTCTCTATTCCTCCCCTTCCCACAATACTATGACACAATTTTTTTACTTACCACAACTTTAACATGTTTGGACAAATCTCTTGAGCTTCTTTGCAGAAAGTCTGTAAAGGCTGCCTGCAACAGAAATAAGTGTAGGAATTGTCATCGGTGCTTCCTCTCTTCTCTTTCCTCATTTCTTATCCCACCACAGAGCTAATTACCAAAATGCCAACCTTTTGTAAAACCTATTCTTTTTTGCTCTGAGGAGATATGATTTAATTTAAAAAAAAAAAAAAAAAATCATGATACTTCTCCTTTTGAGGGGTTAACCAAAGAAGGTCCTTGGGCACCCAAGGATTTAAATGAAAATTCTTACATATTTGTTTCCATGTTTAAGACACATGGGTACAGTGGGAGCCATTGTCCAGAAAGATATGTCATGCATTATCAAATTAGCTTTTCTCTCTTAATAACTTCATTTTAGAATAAAGTGTTGTCCATGTACCTCCTGAACGCAGAAGCAATTTTATTTGCATATTCACATATGAAAATGAATCACTCCAAATAGCTGATTTCTGCCCTCTACTCCCCATGACTTGACATCCAAATTACTCCTCAAAGCTACAAAGACACTGGGGAATTTCTCTAGAAAAGTCAATATCAATGTGTTTCCCAAACCCCGTAAGAAGCAGAGCAGCTTGTTGAGAAGCTTATGAGCCAGAAGCAGGGGGAACAAGACTTGACCAGTACTATGTCCAAAGGAGCAGCATTTCTCTCAACTGCTAAGCACTGTAAAAAACCAGTGCTTCAGGCACTTTCCAACAGACATGCGTGTGGCATTGCCAGAAACAGTACATGTGCACTTTAAATTGCAACAGGAAAAATGAACTGGCATGAGCTCCTGATGTGAGAAAGTGAGGAGGAAGGTACTTAAGAAAACATTAAAACAACTAAGTTAACATCATTCTGTAAGATGAATCACAACTCACCCCTGCATAAAACATTTTATTTCTAAATCGGCTGTTGAATTTCTCTGGGTTTGCTTCTGTGAAAGGATAAAAAGGAAAAATATGAACACCCTAATAAAACAAGTAGACTCCATTGTACCTTCACATTCCCTGATAGCACTATAGTGCTATCACTATATTTTTAGCACCCATCACTCAGTGAAAATATTAACATAAATAGTTTTCCTGTGTGAGAGTCCCTCATCTGTGCCATTATCTGCTAAAATATTTCAAAAATTGATATTGAATTCTTCCCCTTTCCTGTAGAGTGAAAATAGATGGAAACATGAGCAAAGAGGTAACAAGAATACAGTCAGTTAATTTAGCACCTCTCAGACTATTCATCTTATGATCCCTCAGTACCATTTGTGAGACTTCCATGTCTACCAATGCAGAACAGACTTCTAAGAATTATTAGAAATCCATGAAACACTAACCCATGCTTTGAAGCAGGAGTAAAGCTTTAGTAAATTACAAGATGAAACAGACACTTGAATTCTGATGTGTTACCAAGAGGTACAGAAGAACAGACATCTCTACCCAAATATTCCTGCAGTAAAAAATAAGTGGTTACTCTAAAACCTTTTTAGAGAGCTGCTTCATTTTGATTAGACTAAATGATGGAGAATTTTAATAGTCCAGTAGTAATGCACATCTAATTGTTAATTATTCTCACTGTTAAAATAGATGTGGGGTTTTTTTCCTATCTTGAACTTTTCAGACTTCAACTGTTAAATCTTATTATACTACTTTATCAGATTAAAGAGCCCTCAACTATCAGATATCTTCTCCTTGAGTGAATATTTATAGGCAGTGATTAAATTGCCTCTTAACTTTCTTTCTGATAAGCTAAATGGAGTTCCTTTAATCTCCTGGTATAAGGCTTCTCTTACAGGTCATTCTTGTACCTCCCTGGGAACTGCTTTCCTGGCCTGTGGCATCCAGAGATTTCAGAACCAGCCCTTCTGACACTGTATTCAGTAGTAGTACCAACCACCTATCCTTGCTCAGTAATTCTCTAGTGAAAACATCCAAGTATCAAGATAGTCCTTCTGGCTAAAGCATCACACTGGTGTGAACTCTTTCAAATTACTTCTCAAATGACCACTTGAAAAAATGTTTCTAGTTCTCTTTGAAGTCACTACCTCTCACAATATAAGGCTCCATTTTGTAAGAATGAGCTACTTACTCTGTGGTTTTTGTTTGATTGTTTGCTCAGCTACTGTTATCATCCATCTGCTGTGTTGCAGGTGAACCTGGAATGCAGTCAGGGCAACCTCTTCTTAAAATGTTTAATTTAACTGCATAAGTAAATCTTGTCTCACTTACTGAGCTCACAGCTCTTTACAGAAAGTCTCAACTTTCCATGCTAAGAAGCAGGAGGCTCATGAAGGCTCAATGCCCTGTCCATACATTCTCTGATGTAGTTATCCCCGAAAACTCCAGGCAGCAGCCACCAAGGCACTGGCTCTTACGTGGATCTTACAACGAATACTGACCAGAACCAAAGCCCCAGTTTGGAACTGGCTAATGAGAAAAGGAGCCATTCTGAGGTCAGGGACGTTCAACATACTGAACTGTTCCTAGCTCTGACACAGTCATTGAGCATGGATTGGGAGGGAGGACTGTGATGTAGAATAGAGCATGAAGTTGATTAGAGTGCAATTTTGACTGTAGAAGTAAATCACTGACTGCATATCCAAGGCTCTCTCCATCTTCATCCTTCTTAAACCAGCAAGGGAGGAGGAAAAAGAAAGTGTTATTGTGTGCATGCATGAGTGGGGGGGGAAGTCTCCTCGAAATGAACAGCTCTGGAGAGCTGAGGGAGCAAACAGCATATCAACAGGGATAAAATAAAATGCATCTCACTTGATCCAAAGCATAAGGATAACAAGGGAAGAAACTGTGACTCTGGGAAGAGTCACTACCCAGAGGGAAGAAACTGACTCTGGAAAAGTCACTACCCAGAACAATTCCTGAAGGAGAGCTAAATACGTTGGGCTTGGAGCCAACCCTCAAGGCTCAATCTGATTAGTCACAAGAGTATAGAGGTTGCCATGGAAAAGGCCACATTCACGTACAGGTTCCTCTGAGACATTGTGATCACTGCTTATTCTAAATATAACAGTTGACCATAAAATGCCCTCATAGGCTGAGAGTTCAAATTAATCTCATTTCTTTTGGTTTGGCAAGGGGGAAGGAAGGATGAGAGTGAGGGGGCTTGGTGGTTTTTTTAATACTATATGTGATTAAAATAGCTCCACATCAGCAACTGCATACCACAACTTATCTTAATGGACCAAATGCAACAGACATAAAAGTGCTTTAAGTTTTGCTAAAGTTTTGCTAAGAGTTTATCTAGATTCTCATCAACTGTAAATGAGATAAGAATCTTTTGCACTGCTTGATTCCACATGAAACACAATGAAACCCACTCACCACCAACACCTTCAAGGCTACAAGCTTTTCTCTCCTAAAACATAGGACTCATTTGTAAATTTTAGCATTTGATAGGATAAGGAAGACACGAGCAATAAAGATTTGTAAAAGCAGACACTTGTGCTATGAAAAGCTCTCCTGGTCACACATACCCACTCACAGATAACACTGCTAGCTCTGCCAAGTATTTTTTCACCCATGTAAATTTTTAAAGCACTGACATCTCTGGAATAACATCCATTCTTTATAGGATTCCATTACTTCATTATTAAGTAATGCCTCCATTAAGTGAGAAAGTAGCAATGCGTTTCATCTATACAGTATATTCACAATCACATTAGCAATGCATAGTGATATGCATTCATAAAAAAAAAATGCATACAGCTGACATCGTTTCATTCCCATGCCCTTTTGTGGCCATTCATTATTATTCCTAAAGCTTGAAGCAGTTTTAAACATTATTAAATATGCATTAGCTCATTCCATCATGTATCCTGCTCTTTATTTAACACAGCATTAGAGTGCTGTCTTTTCATCTTGAAATTACACGCATAGTCTGAAAGTAAAGATAAGGGAGGCTGCCATTCAGAAAAAATACCTGCATATGGAACTGTAATGACCAAAAGCTGAACACAGACAATTGGACAAGGTTTTTTTTATACAAGCATGCTTGCCTAAACCATATAAATAGAGCAGTTCACACCAGTCCAAAGCCCAGCTGTTAAGCCACATTTGGACCTGTATGGGGTGATATAACTGCCATCAGCAAGAGGAGGAACAAGATGCTGTAACAGCTCAAACTGCTGACAGTTTTGTGGACTTCATTAAAACCTTTCACTTGCATAGAGACACCCTGGGCCTGTATCAAGTCCAATGATATTATGCTACACTCATCCACAGGTAACAGCTGTTCAGTTTGAGAATACAATTATCCTTCTGCTACCCTGCTACTTCCACAGCCTTGCAGCTTTTCTCCTCCCTCCACCTCCACACTGGACAGAAAATTGGCAACTGACTTACATTTGTTTTTCTTTCTGCTTTTATTCTGACACATCTGCATCAGCATAAACTTCCTTTCAATCAGTACTTATCTCCTTTAGAAGATCAAAAATTTTGAAAAGCTCCCTTTTAGCCCTTTTCCTCCAGTGAGTTACATTTTTCCTCATACGTTTTTCATTTTTAAACCATGAAATCCCTTGGAAACTCACGATACAATCACTTCCTTCCTACTTGTGTCTATATCTTGGGTGTTTATGTTCCTGCTTTCCTTCTGAATTATAAGAACAGGATGTTAAATCTAATTTCATTTGTAATTCAGAAAATAACTGACCATTCTCAAGGCTAAGGAAATAAAAAGTTCCTGTTACCTCTAGATTCATGGAACTCCAGTGTAACATGTGCATCAAATCCAAGGCTGAAGTAATTATTGAAGACACTGAGTGGAAGCTGTAATTGAATAATAAAAAGATATGTAAAAATAACACAAATGAAACATTCCATGACACACCAGGCATTAACTACTTTAAATCTGGCATCTCATGAAAACTTAAGAAGAAGAAAGTGGAATATATTAGGGAAATGTATGCAGAAGGTTGCTCTGAAGGTTAGTAATAGCTTGTGGAAGACGATCAGATACAAAAGCCTAAAGAATATAAATACATCTACAGTGCTTTAAACACATCAAAGGGTTCCTTATGTTGTCATTGAGATTTCTCATAATGCTGCTACACTTAACATGTCAATACAAAGGTTTTCCTAATTGCTGGCACTTCAAGCTCAGCACGGCAAATGAAACTCAAGCTGCATTCTTCCTGCTTCATATATAACCAGAAGCAATGTAAGTCCCAGACAAGAAGGCCTAATTCTATTGAGGATACACAAGGCAAGGAAGCATACATCTGGCGTCTTCATCATTACACATGCCCAGCAGGGCTGTGGAGAAAGAACAGTACCACCCAATAGATAAGCTGGAAATTATAACTGAGAAAAGGAAAATGGTTCACAGTTTTTGGGAGGTTTTTTTGTGATTGTAAATCTTTCAATGCCTCCAGTCCAAACAAGATGTTACTATAAATGTGATCCCCTCACAATTTGTTTTTCCCATTTTTCAATTATCAAGATCATATGGACACACACGTACACATAGAAGTTAAATACAAAAATGTACTACTCCTTGCTGTAAAGTAGGTAACTTTTGGTATGCATTAGCAAAATCCAAAGGAATAAAATTCTACATCCTGTCTTTAGATATATATCTCTAATTTAGGAATGGACGGTGGACCCAAGGTTGCTTCTCCTGTCGCCTCAGGTTAACTAGAGAAAAAAAAAAAAAAAAAAAAAAAAGTCAATGACCTCTCAGATAAGATGTCAGGGGGTTTTGCCAGCATTTTGTTCTTGAGATAAATGCTCGTCTGAGACTTACAAACAACAAATAAGTGGACGGTATGTTTTATGTTTCACACACCTCTGGAAGCATTGACAGGTGAGAAAGGCATAAGGAAGAGATGTAACTACAGAATTTAAAAGTTTTAGAGCTTCTTCACTCATGCATTTTATGGTGTAACCCAACGACACTCTTAAGCATCCTGTAGTCTCCCTGGGAAAAAGAAAACTCTAACCTTACGTGCCCCATCCTCCAACTCATCCTGTGGCAAGTCAGGGTTACGCTCAACCTGGAGATTCCAGCGGTCCAGCTGGACGATGGTCCCATCTTCTACATGGCACAGGATCTTGGACACTGGCTCATCTGTGTAACCCTGACAGCAGAGGGAGTGTCACCAGAGTATTAACCATGGATAGTGAAAACAGAGCAAGTCACTCACAATTACCTGGTAGACTGTCCTCCTTTTACAGAGGCCAGACCAAATGTTTCTAAGAACACTTCAAAATATTGTTAAATTTTGATATATCAAGCACTTTAACAAGCTATTTCTGAGGTAGAGAAGTCTTTGGCAGGCAAAGTAAGACCATAAGGAGAGGAACTCAAAGTGTATTTGTAACTCCAGTGGTGTTGTCAAGGATAAATACAGAGAAATAAAGTTTAAACTATGTTTAAATTACAAGCCTGCACGTTATCCTCATTAGTTGGCCTGAAATACTAGACAGACACATCTATGCACACTTTTATTACAACTATATTGTTAGTAATTCAAGATCCCAGACTGGAAATTTAACCAAAACCATTGTGCCTAACTGAAGTAGACCTTAGACACAGTCCTGTCCTATATTTTTAGCCAAAATTAAGTTTCACTCTACTACACAACTAAATCAGACCAGCAAGTTCAAAGCCTGCAAGTAAGTGTACCCCAGTCAGTGCTTACCCCACCCCAGTTGAGGGTACGGGCAAGGTCATTCCCAGTGCCAAGCGGAAGGACAGCCACAGGAGGCGGGGGACTGAGCTGCAGCTCATCGAGGATGGAGAGGATCCAGCCCACCTATCAAATAGGAAATGCAAAGAACTGTTAGTCAGTAAGATTAAAAGGGATATAAACACTTATTTTGATCATAACCCCTTTACAGAGAAGATCAAGTAAAAGAAAAGGGAGAAGGAAAAAATGAGGATATCTGAAATTAAACCCTACAACTTCTCCATCTGAGGTTTCACCTTTCAGAGAACAGATACAGCAGTTTTCATGAAGCTTCTCTGCAAGTAGAAGCAGTGGCATGTAAACACTATCTTTAACAGCACACAGAATTACTGAGGAAAGGGAGCACATAAGTAGCTGATCTTTAAGCAGGAAATGAAAACAAATAGAATTACACCTGGCTAAGGGTACCTAACTATTGCTCTGAAAAATACTGTATGTAAAAATGAGTGAAGAATAATATGGTTTATTCAAGATCAAATTTTTTAAAGTGCCTTATGCTAAAAGAAACTACCTTTGACAACTGCCATGAAAGAAGATGTGAAAGACACAGTAAAACAGCATGTCCTGGAACTGGAACAGAGGGTCCAGATCAAGCCCAGCATGGACTTGTTCACAGGTCTCCCTTTCCCCAGAAAAGAGACCTTAGTGCTGAATTATTTCACTCAGTGCAAAGCATAAAATATATATATTCTAGTTGTATACATATACACACACTTATATATTTTATATAAAGATAAGACTAAAAGACTAGAATAAAAGACAAACTCTAACACTTAGGGTTGAAGAGTTTGAGTTAGAACAATGAATCTGACTCTTTTGAATCATCAACTGTTGGTTATTTTAAAGAGTTGTTTTTCTCCTTTGTCCCTATTCTGGACTACATAAAACTTTTAAATAGAAATCTAGCCAGAAGGAACAAATTACTGTAAAATATATTGTTTTCATTAAATTGTAATTTCCAAGGGAGTGAAGAAGAGTTGCTGAAAGTGTTCTGAAACTTTTTGTGACTGAAATTCTTGCTACAAGAAAATAGGACTTTCTTAAACTATTTCTCACCTTAAAAAAAAAAATATTAAAATTTGTGAAAGAACCTGTGCTGCATTTTTAAATAAAGAATTAAGAAAAAATAAACATAAGCTAAAATTTGATCTTTTTTTTATTTTCCTGATGCCAGAGTTCAAAGATGCAGTCTCTACTGTAAATGTGAGCTTTTAAATAAGTCATAAAATGGAAATCCTGACTCCAGTTGGACAGGATTTTTCCTTCCCCGCTTACAGAGGAAGAAAAATCCCCAACTCCCCATTACTATGATTTCAAATAGATTCTTACCCAAAACTGGGAAGAAACTGGAGCTTCGCAAAAAGGTACCCAGCATAATGTGGTCATTGGGAACCACAGCTGGAATTTGAAGGCCTGGAAAGGGGGTGGCCTTTGGTGATGGGTATAGCAACCACCATCCTATTTGGTAGTCTAAGGTATGTCTTTCTCCAAGTTTCCTGAAGACATTTAATTAAGTATAAATAGCATTTCTCAGACAGTTATTTATCATAACCAGTTGTACAATTATTAAAGTATTCATCTGGAATGTGAACCCATATTGGAGCTCATTTTCTGACAAGTCATGTGAATTACTTACAACTCTGATGAACTTGAATGTCACCAAAGGTACTTAAATCTATCATAGGCACCATTAGAACTAAGTCCTTAAGAGATTTTCAGATATAAGAAATCTTCTACCTTTAAAAAAAATCTGTCTTTCAGTATTGATAACAGGAGACAGAATAAAGCATCCCGATAACTTCACTTGGGCCAGGGCTTCTTAAAGAGTATTTTGTCATTAGCCCTTTGCCGCTGCCACTGGCTTAATCCATACATTTGTGCCTCAGCCTCCCACTGGTAGCATTACAATACCTACCACTTTTGTAAATGCTTTTAACTGATAAACAGAAACTTCAATTACCAATTTATAAGTACAACATTGCTATTTAACTTGAGGTCATTTCTAAACCTTGCACATTAGTTTTATAATCAAGGATGAAAAAGACTGTCATTTCCTAGTAAATAGAAAGCTCCTGACTGCTTTGAAAGCAAAGCTTTCCACTTATGCCCTGGAAAGGAACAGCAAGCAGCAATGATGGAAAAGTTACAATAATTTCTGATTCACCTCAATAATGCAAGGTAACATCTGGTCTCATTGAATATTCACTAAGTCCATTTGAGACAGTTTTTTCATTTCTGGATGTAATGGCTTTGGGAATAACTAGATATTAATTTGCTTCACACTGAGCAGCAGCAAAGGTAATAGTGGAGTGCTGCTCATACTAATGAGGTGGTGCTGCCACCTGTCGCTTGCACTGCTCAAAGAGAAAAACAGAAGATGGTCACTCTCACTCGGATGTAGTTGCATTCATTTCTATATTAATGTTTTCACGATTAATATTTCTTTTGCCTATTAAAATATTGGCTTTCCCAGATAGAAGCTCCAAAGACTTTCAGAAACAAACTGAAATTCGTTCTTGCAGTTATGTCTCCTGCTAAAGTAATGCCTTGCAGGTTTCTCAACATTCACAGTTCAGTAGCATCCTATTGTCCCAGGTACAAGTAAGACAGTAGTGAAATCATGTATTGTCTTCACTTGTATTCTCTTCACTCTTGCAGAGGAAGCACTGGTATTAATAACCCCTACAGCTGGTGTTTTAAAAGAACCCACAGAAGCTGAACAGAAAGTTCCCCTCAAAATTCAAGCAGAGATAGGTTGAGAGTTGGTTCAGCTCAACACACACACACACACAAAAAAAAAAAAAAAAGTAGCTCTATGTGCCCTAAAGCTCAGAAGGTTGTGATCAGTGGTGTAGAATCCAGTTGGAGACCTGTAACTAGCAGTGTTTCCCAGGGGTCGATACTGGGTCCGGTCTTGTTTAAGACCTTCATCAATGACCTGGATGTAGGAATAGCACCCACCCTCAGCAAGTTTGCTGATGACACAAAGTTGGGAGGAGTGGCTGACACCAGAAGGCTGTGCTGCCATTCAATGAGACCTGGACATGCTGGAGAGTTGGGCAGAAGGGAACCTGATGAGGTTCAACAAGAGCAAGTGCAGAGTCCTTCACCAGGGCAGGAATAACCGCATGCACCAGTACAGCTCAGGGGCAGACCTTCTGGAAAGGAGCTCTGAAGAAAAGGACCTGGGTGTGATGGTGGACAGCAGGCTGGCCATGAGCCAGCTGTGTGCCCTGTGGCCAGGAAGGCCAATGGTATCCTG